CGCGAGCCCAAGACTATCATGGCCATCGTAGCCCTAACCCTCCCCTCACAACACTGGGTTATTGATACCTCCTCGCTGGTGCTAGCCCGGGATGGACGACTCCTTCCAGTATAAGTGATTGTGGGGTTCACTGTGACCTTGCTGGGGGAGGGGGTCACAACACACTCGCTTATACTGCCACTTGGCTTACAAAAAAACAGTAATGGACGAACCAGTTATTTTTATTGTGTGTGTGTGTGTGTGTGTGTGTGTGTTTTATTTTTTATCATTTGCTCATGACATTGTTCTTCTTACTAGTGGACTGCTTCGTTGGTACAAAAAAAATATCACCTCAACAATGGTCAATGAGAACATGTTTTGTTCTTTTACACACACACGCACACACACACGAGGTTTTTTCTCACAGTTGAAAATCCGTATTACAAGGGGCACTAAAGATGGATGTTCCACTAACGTGTTGTGTGAGATACTGGCAAGTGTTGTGTTGGTTGGCTAGGTGATGCAGGCAGGTGAGGTGACCGCCACATGTCCTGCCCTGCCCTTGTCACCACCACCGCCACAATCTTCACCCCAACTATACTACCCCATCTTCACTACTACTACCACCACAGCAGTAGTACCACCTTCGTCTTTCTCTCTAGTTTCATTTGATCTCAAGTATGACTAAAGTGATGACAAAATGAAAGGAGTTTTTAACAGTGTCATTTTCGTTGGTAAACTGTAAGGTGGCTCGAGAGACCAACACGGTGTCAGCAGTGGTTTCATTTCTGAGCCTGTCTGACTTTGCGTGTAGATGATCAAGCACAAGGTCACGGTCCGGGTTGATGGTTTTCCAGGTGAGTGTGTTGATTTGGCCTTTCTTTTTAATTTTCATAAGCATTAGATTGGATTAATTTAAATTTGGTTACGTAATGCAAAAATTTAAGTCATGTTTTATAACCCCCCCAAAAAAAATAAAAATTACATTAAGGTAGCAATTATGTTACCATAGTTAAGGAAAGAAACGTTTAGATTAGAAAGAAGTCTTGTCTCTTTTATGAAGACTACAGTAAAAGATTCCATGACCTCTACTCTTAAAGTTAATAGAAATAAAAACTTTCACTGATCAACACCTCCCTACCGTCTCTTCTCCACCCACCATCACTACCACCACCAACCATCTCTCTTCCTCGTCTACCACCATCACTACCACACACAATTATCTTTTCTCCCTATCCGTTACCACCACCATCCTCGCCACCCCCACACACCACTACTCGCCACCCACCCACACAGTAATCTCGTACTCTGTTCTTGTTCTAATCGCAGTTCTCCTTGTTTGGTGTGCTCTTCCTCCACGTCTCTCCTTCCTACTTTCCGTGGCCTCCTCCTTGCTCTCCACGCCACCGTTCTTGCTACACTTACTCATCTTGGTCTACACTTTCTTCTATGGTTAGATTTGATCAGTCCAGTACGTGCCCAGTGTGGCCTGACTGATAATGTTTTTCGTGCGTGAGGGATGTAATATTAAGTGATCAATTCTCTGTGTCTCTAACTTATGGTCTGGGGAAGGTACCCATAAGGGGAATTATTACTAACAAAGTGACCTATTTTTAAGACTCCTTCTAAATACACCATGAAAACGAAAGATTTATATATTTAATTAGTTATTTGGTATAAAAGAGAAGCTTACTTTTCTTGGGTCGTCTTACATCCGTTCGTCTGTCTTCCTCATGGCTACGATTTTAGGGAAGCTATACAACCACGGGACTTGGGTAAACATAATATATGATGTGGGTTAGAGTACTGTCGACGTGGATACTGTGTATGTCACCTACCCCACAGGTGTATTCACGTCTACGGTACTCTGACCCACATCATATATTATGTTTACCCAAGTCCCGTGGTTGTTGCTGCGTATAGCTTCCCTAAAATCGCAGTCATGAGTTTACCATGTTGAGTTTATATATGTAATTTGTTGGGAGATCTTGTTTTCATTCGTTTCGATATTTATCGTTCAATTCACCATCTGAAAGACGAAGGGAATTAAGGTTTTCATCTGCTAATCTGTATAGTTGGAGCAACAGTAGTGTTCACCTGCAGGTTAAACCATTGCAGTATCATAAACATCCACAAACAGCGATATACAGTATATAGTATACAGCCACAGGAACAGTGGTAGTAATAGTAGCAGCAGCATTACCACAGGTTGAAACAACCCCAGTTGAAGGTACACCATCTATCACGGCTGAAGAAGTACAGAAGGTGCAGCAACATCCATCGTAAATGGAACAGAAACAAAGACAATTAATCGCATCAGCAACGGGTGAATATAAAACAACAGTAACCACAGCAACAGATTGAGCCTAATTGGGGGGTTGGGGCAAGACAAATGGGGATGTGGGGGTAGGTATAGTTAGAACCTCAATAGGAGGACGGGACCTGCGACTCTAGCCAGCTGGGGGAACAACGGGGCGAGCGACGGCGACAGACCCAACACATCTCTTATTTATCAAACTATGTACAGGTATTCCCACCACCTCACACGCCACGACCACACACACATCCCGCCTGATGGCAGCCTCGATCCTCGCTTGTCGTGCTCATTTTTGCTACTGGGTTTGCCAGTGCTGAATTACCCCGCTGTACTGACACCACACTGTGCTGGCGAATAATCGCCATGCTCCTCCATTCAAAACAAGAGACAGTTGAGTTTCTTCAAATTCTTCTCCATCTTTTGGATATTGTAGACTACAGTGGTAACTCCTGCGAGTCGAGTGAAAATAATTTGACAATTATTATAATTATCCGTGTGGGAGACTAATGGGTATGAGTAGAATCCGTCTTGGAATGGTACATCAAAACGGTACTGGGTTATCTACCCAATGTGTGTGTGTGTGTGTGTGTGTGTGTCTGCTCACAGTGTATGCGAGTGTTTGTGTTCTCGAAAGCAACCATATAGTGAATCATAGGCATACTGGTTGCAATATTTTGTTTGTAATTAAATGCAGAGTTATGCCAAAATTCAGTCATTATAGAACCTTGTGTTTACTATCACACTGTTTATAATATCTCAATGGTCCCCAGTGTTGATGCAGGTACAGTCACCTTTTAGTATATATATATATATATATATATATATATATATATATATATATATATATATATATATATATATATATATATATATATATATATATAATATTACTTTCTCGGCAGTCAGCTTAGATAGCCACTATATATACATTAAAGCTGTTCTTGTCCTTGTGGTGAAGTGTATCTTGTACCCTGATGTTCACCACCATGGCGGGGTGTTATGTCGGCCACTTCAGACAACACTGTTTTGGGTAACCACAACACAACACTAAACATACACTTGTAAAGGAGTCAGACCTGCACTCCTACAAGTCACTCTATATATCGCCCAAATGTTGTTAAGTGAACTATTGAAGAGGAATTATAATAATTATAAATGGTAAATGGTGTTGTTAGAGAGTGCAGTACTGATGTATTTACTGTTGTATCACGTGGGTGTTGAATAAGAAAAAAGAAACGACTCTTACCGATTACGAGTCAGAATCTGTGTTGGTGGGTCGCTTAATCTGGACCCTGACTGGAATTGTCGTTAAATAAGTCTCTTTGTCTCATGAACTGGCAGTCAGATGTATGTAAACTGATCGTCCAAAGAGTTTGTTTGTTGGTTATGCGATTGGCCGAGTGGGTGTTGCAATTATTTAAGGCGTTGGTAAGTTATTCACCCCCTAATTTATTTATCTGCCACGATACAACAGTGGCCCCTCAATAAGTCACGAGTGCTAGTGTTTTTTTTTATTATTATTTTTCTACTAGATTAATTCAACGAGCGGGTGGTGACGGTGGGGGGTAGTTTGGTTTTAAAGGCGTGTGCTCAGAACCTGTGCGCTGGCTGTGTTGGTCACTGGCTCTCGTTTGTATAGTCCCCCTCCCTACCCACACCTGAGGGATGTATAAGTTAGCTCTGTTGTGTTGTTCTTACCGTTCATGACACACAAACTTCTTAAGATTTTAAAAATAAATTGTCACAAGTTTAGAGTATAAAAGACTATATATATATATATATATATATATATATATATATATATATATATATATATATATATATATATATATATATATATATATATATTATATATATATATATATTATATATATATATATATATATATATATATATATATATATATATATATATATATATATATATATATAAGTGGTAGACGTACACATCCCAGGATACCTATATTGGCAGGTGGGCATTAACGGGCAGCAAGAGTTAAGGCTATCAAATACCAATTTAGGGTAGTGGCACAAGAGCCGCTTAGGAGCGAGTCATTAAACATTGTGGTTATCAGAGCGTCCTGAGCGAGGCGCCCTGCGGTACGCCGTAGCCAGCACCTACACTCTTGGTTTTTGTCGTAGCCGAAAGTGAGATGGTCAGGGGAGTGGGGCGCCCTCCTCCTTGTTAGAGGCAGGAGATACGAGTGCCTTAGTGTAAAGTGACAGCTGCTGGAGGACGTAGGAGAGTAATGGTATCACCAAACGCCGCTCATCTACTTTGCTTTTGTCAACCACGGTGCTTAGGGTTGATAAAGGCCATGTCTGGTTGATCCATCGGTCCACTAAACTAGATTGAGGTGTCAGGTTTCATCTGTGACGACAAGGGGTAGTGTGCGTGGAGACGGCCATGGCGTCATATTCGTACGAATATGGTGAACTTTGATGGGAAGGTTGAACTAGAACTAGTTGAGGACACTCCGTACAGCTCACAGTATGCAGTGATGTTAACATTATCCACCTTCTCTTCTCTCATTCACTTAGGCACACGCGGCCTCAACACCAGAGAGGGAGAGAGAGAATTTATTTTACCACTGAATGATATATCTTTATGATCGGTATTTTGTGTGTGTGTGTGTTATAGAGTTATGTGCTATAGGGGATGGTCGACAAATACCTCCACTAATAATTATTTTCTCTGTCCACAGGATGACGACGACTCCACGTCTATACTCTCGGTAAGTCAGTCGTCTGTTTTTATGTGATTGGACGCATTTTGAAGTTTGCGCCATTTTCTATCAGTATTGTTTGTCTTTTTTTTTATCAAGTATATAACTCATGGACCGAAAGCCGAGTTAATATGACCATGTTAACTGGAAGAACTGAACCTGTTTTGTTCTCTCCAAGGTGTGAGTAACTAGTAACTAGGATGTTAATATTATCAAATGTATCCAGTATATACAGTCATAAATTTCCCACTAAAGAATCTCTTGTAGTAACATTTATAGTGATTTTGACTCCTAGTGTTGGGTCTGTACCTCGTGTACCGTGATGAGATGTGTCCTAGTGAATCATTATTCTTTTAAACCTTTGTAATATCCACCACAAAAATTATCTCACTCATTCTACAGTATATCCTTGAATGATTGTGCTCATAGTAATGTAAGGCTGTTTCCAAAGTATAAGCAACAAGGCTTACGGAAATTCATACTTAGTCAACATAGGTCGTACTACACAGTCTCTTGGTAAGGTACACTGAGGGATATGTAAGGTGTAACTAGTTTATGGATCCCACTCCTAATGTTCTTCAGGAGTTTGGACGAATTTTGCTCCCATTGCAACTGGAGCTTCAACTTCGCCCATTCACTTGTGTTGACAATATTTGGCAAAACAGTCGTTTGGCTATGGAATTCTTCATATCCCACTCTGTACTTACAAAGATTTCGGGAAGGTTCAACCTTACCTGTCTTAAAGTAGGACAGTCTGCTACTGACAGTGGAACCACAGCTGAAACCAAGACACTTTCGACATTCACTTTATGTAACCATGGCCGACCTACTATTAAAACAAATGTGTCTCGTGTCAAGCTATTTTGCAACATCTTCTCTACATTGTACTTAGTTTCTATCCTCCTCTCTGACCTTAACAACAGTTACCACAGTGTAAGATAAAGAGAGTCCTGTAGGGACAATGTTTGATCTTGGGAGCAATGTCTCCATGCACCTGTTTCTTACCATCTCATGCAAACATCTAAATTTTATACCTGTCTAGTATTTTCTATTCTTTAGTCTCGATCCAAACAAGGCTCCAGGAATTGGTAGTATCACGCCTCTCATCCTCTAAAAATGTGCATCTGATCTTGCTCCTGTTCCCACAAATATCTTACCTCTTGGTCGCTATTTTTCGCCCAGCCTACCCCCAGTTCGCCCAAACTTAATGGGCTGACTTCACAGTTGGGTGAGTGAATGCTACCGAGTGCACTGCCGACCACACCTCAGGGGAGGGGGCATTTGTGTACCAAAGACTTGGTGGAGGTACAGTGTGCAATGTCCAGCCAATACCCAAAAAAAGTTTTACACTCACCTCAATCATGTATAAAAGTCGTGGACTTGGTCATAAACAAACAGCTACTCAAACACCTTGAAAATCACCAATATCTCTCTGAAAACTTTGCCGAATCTTGTCTTGATGCCTTTCATTAGTGTAAAACTAAGTGTGGTCTGGCATGAAGCTCTTCTTACCAAACAAAAATATTTTGACCTTCCAGGTGTTTCAGTTTTTTGGCCTTGAGGTTCACATCTTGCTCCTACCCTCTTCCTTCTCCATAGTAATTACCTCCTCTCCACACCTTCCAGCAACACACATTCTATTCGTGGTGAAACAAACTTACACAGAGGTTTATCCTGCAGCTTCGGTGCCCACCACTAGTTCGGTATGTAAGTAATTGATAGGTTTAATTGAGTTCGATATTGGTGCTTCTTCCCGGCAGTTTGGCGCGGACGGGCAGGAGTGGATGGTGGCGGCTGCCAAGAGTGACTTCAACGAGATCCTGAGACTTCTCAAGATTCACCCGACCCTCGCCAGATACAAGGTAAGGGAAGTCTTCACCATTATTGGCCTTCCATCAGCTGCGAATTTAATGTCAGTTGTTTGGTTAATACTACATATGCTTCTCCGGTGTGTTTTTTTTTTCATATTTATATGCAGTTTGTTTTCTGTAATAAGATTAAGAAAATAGTTTGTTGTTCAGCGTGATTGGTTTATTTTCGAGCATGTTTTTCCTATATTTATGAACCATCCTCCATTTGAAGGCATTTTCCTCTTTTAATGTTTATCCTCAATAATAACACTGGTACCAATATCAAACGACGTGTTATCGTATTCGAATTAAAATCTCCCATATTGACTAAGATTTGAATTTATACACAAATGTTATATAATTGATCGACTGCTGAGGAACTCATAACACACAACTGTGACTGTTATTAGTTATCAGTGGTGTAGATACAGCAGCTTCGTCGGTAGTCTTTACTGAGATGATGTACAGGGTGTCCATAAATGATTACCCTGTGAAAACATGAGAGCAAACTGTTTTTAGGGTAATCATTTATGGACACCCTGTAGATCTTTATAGAGCAGCCGATCCTAGATAACAGTTGTGAGATTAATTAATTATTGTAGTTGTGATCAGTTGTGTTTATCTGTGACAAGAACACAGTTACCATGAACTTAGGTGATGTAGATGTGTCCGGTGTCGCGTGTCCGTCTCTGTGTTTCGAGACGTAAACCTTCCAGACATGATGAAACCTCCTTGTTTAAAAATCTGTTTATATTTCGATTCTGTAAGGCTGTTTCGTTACGTGTGTGGGATAGTACCAGGCAACCTTTTGTAAAATCGGCCAGTGTGAGGTGTTAATTAAATTTGTTAGTTGTACACAAAAGGTACTGTACAAGCTGAACCAACGTGAACTGGTTTGACAACTTTTAAGTGATTAAAGAACCATCTGTGTATGTATCTATCTATCTAAACAGTGGTAAGTGTGCAAGACTCACACCTACAACAGAACTCGGCAGGGATTTCAACGCTGCCCCGAGAGTCATCCTGTAGCGGGAGAGGAATTGTTGTAGGTCAGTTGGGCTCCTAACCTAACCTTTAAGATGGGGCCTCGTGGACTGGGCCGATTTGACCAGTAACCAGAAGATTGACATGGGGATGAGAGGTGTATGGCCCGTGCATTTGTTGTAGGTGTACTTGTGCTAGTGTTACCTACTGCCGGAGTGACCCGCTACCTGTGAGTGAGTGTTTTAGAAAGTGAATGACACACACACACACACACACACGCACGCACGCACGCACACACACACACACACACACACACACACACACACACACACACACACACACACGCACGCACGCACGCACATTCATTCATTCATTCATTTATTTCAACTTCTAACTCTTATTGCTTACATGAAAAGATTCCACTTGTTCATTAGACGTGTCGTGTGTTGGTCAGGGTGTGCCCAGAACTAATTTAGACAAACTTCACATGTGTGTCTGTCTGGTGTCGTCGAAATATACCGGACAAATATATGATAATGAGGAGCTAACATGGACACGACTGTCATGTGACAAGACCAAAATTTGTTTTATCGGCAGTGTCTTGAGTCCAACGTGGCTAAAGTAGTTCTCTGGCGCTTTATAATCACACCCAGAAGCGACAGCAGATAATAAAACAGAGGATTTCAACCAGTGATGACCGGGAGATTCAGTGTTTTAGCTGGTTACTTTACCACGTTTGTTGTGAAGAAAAAGAATGGCGACATGATTTGCAGCAAAAACAATGTGGGAACTTTCCAGCCACTTGATGTAGATAATACCTTTTCAACAGAGAGGTGGGAAGTAGACAAATAGATTATAAGTCGAGGCTGCGTAAGGCTTTTAGCTCGTGAATGAGAGTTGACACAATGATTTAAGTGCATACAAATATTTTTTTTTGTATTTTAAAAGGAGCGTGTAGTAAGGGAGACGGATGGTTGAGACGCTGTGGGTGTTGTGAGATGCCGTAGAGATGGGTGGAAGGGTGTCGTGTGTGGAAATTACACTTAATACCCGTATGTTTCCCGTAAGCGGCGGCTACAGTGGGGGAGGAGGAGTCGCTAATATATGCAGGGGCTGTCAGGAGTGTGGGCCGAGGGTGATGGAGGACCGGTTCGCCACCACCACCACCACCAGCCCTTCTCCTTTACTCCTTCACTCAGTCATCCAACCTCCTTCTTTCTTAACTATAGCCTACACCACTCTGAGCCTTCCTCGTGGTGTTCCTTATATAAGTGTACAAGTGTTCGCCAGTTTGTTGTGTACTGTGCATATGTGAGTGTCAAAATGGCAAGTTGGCTCTTAATACTCATCACCTTCACACTGCTTATTATTTTTTCGTCCCTCCCTCCCTCACTTTACTGTCCACTACACTTTGTCTCTCTTACGTCTGGCGTTTACTTTACCCACTATCTTTATCTCACAGGTGTTTTTCGTTTTCTCTACTGCTTTAAATTCGTTTCATGGACTTACCCACGGCATATGTTTAGCTTCATATGCCACTGTCCCCTCCTTGCAAGACCCGACATTTTCCCCCATCTTCTCCCCTTCTCCTCCCTTCTCTTCCCCCTCCTCCCTTCTCTTCCCCCTCCTCCCTTCTCTTCCCCCTCCTCCCTAGAGCTCATACCCATCACTCCCCCTGAAAAGCTTATATCCTGCACGCTTCCTGTGGCCTCCAAAGATTCGATTCTCATACCTACATCAGACGTGAGAGAGGAGAAGCTTCTTGGTATTACGATGCGATGGTCCTCCCCAAGCTGTTACTACCTCTGACGAAAAAACAAACAAGAAACACTTTATATTTGTGGTGGTTGACACTGGCTTAACACTGCTGTCATCCACCATAGCGGAAGACTATTCTATCATCCATCGCATGGCTTCTCATCCACCACTGTAGGTGACCTTACGACCATCCGTCACTATGGATGAGCCGTCCTGTCATCCGTGGGTGTAGATAAACTTACACTTCTTCCATTATACTTCAGCTCTCAGGTGCACTTATAATCCTCCTCTCACAAATCCTGATAGACATCTAGAGGGTGGGGCTGAGGGGATTACTGTTTATGTCTTGTCTTTGTTTTTGTGTTTTATCGGTGTGTTGGTCTGCGATTCTTTGTGTTTTTTTGCGTGAGTTATTTTTTTTTTGTGACTGTATTTGCGCATGAGAGGTATAGATTGCCTTGATAATATGTTCTTAGAATTGACTTTGTTGTGTTGGTGTAATGTAATGTTTTTTTTTTTAGCACTGTACTGTATATTTAACGTTACGGACGCAATTGACATATTTGTCTCATCATTACCAACTGCCCCTTGCCTTACTTTTGGCAGTTTTTAAAGATTGTGGATTAGACAAGACTCGCCGGACAAGTACTCGTTGGACAATTACTCACCGGACAAATACTCACCGGGTAAATACTCAGAGGATAAAAACTCACTGGACAAAATCTCACCTGGCAAAAACTCACCACCTCAATACAAAAGAGGACAAAAACTCACTTATCAGTTTTCATTTAACTGATAGATTATACCATGTTGTAAATTGAGTGTTTATAGAAGACAAAATATAGAGGCCTGTATATTAACTACCTTTGATAACTTCTGTTTGTTTTTCCCGCTTAATTTGATGAATATTTACTGATTATTTCGGAATAACATTAGTGTAAATTGACTCGCTTAAGTTTTGAGGTAATGTGAGTTATCCAATGACTGACCAGGAACATTTTACCCTAACCCTTAATTTCTCCTTCCTACCTCACCCATTTTCTCACCCTTTGTTTAGTTCCCGACACACACACACACACAGTCTTCAACATCATAAATTACCCTTATCCGGTGCAAATAACAACATCGGTGTGTCGTGGGGACGTCAGCTCGGTGCCATAAGGGTGACTAATCCAGCCCGAATCTACCTCAGGCCGCTCTTTTCTACCCATCCCGGCCAGACCTGAGATCGGCCCCCGATACCACACCTGTCACGTTATCAGGTGATTATTGGCATTTTTGTTTGGCTCCCCTGCGATCGGTGGGGGCGATTGGCTGGGACCCCTTGTGTCTGGTGAGTTTTACCGAGTCGATCCGAGCCCATTGTAGGCTGCTCCTGATAATGCTCGTGTGTGTGTGTGTGTGTGTGTGTTGGTGTTCACAGTTGGCTGACCAGTTATTGGTGCACTACAGGTCGGTATTGAAGGTAAGTCCACAAAATAGTAGGTTGAGTAGCTAGTGGTGCACAATCGCTGGGGAGGTGAGATAAGTGAATGTGCACGACAAAATTTTCATAAACAGGTGTTATAGCTCGGCTGTGTGTATGAGTTACAGTGACAGCACTTAACCTAGGATATAGAACTCAGTCTGTGAGGTGATTATTCAATGAGGAGTTTGTTTTCTTGTGCTGTCGTGTTGGTGGTTAAGGGGAGGTAATGTCTTTGTTGTTCTTATTAGTGTGACTACTGATGGTGGTTACTACGAATTCTGGTGGTGGCTACTACAACCGATGGTGGTTACTGCGACTTTTGCTTGTGCTGGTTAATACCACAAATGCTACTAGCGCTGTTACTATGACATCTTGATGTCGTTGTTGCTACTACTACACCAGCCTACTCTTCCCGTCCCCTGCCAGTCCCTGTGTGATGTGAGCTCATTAGCATAAGTTTGGATGTGCACCTCGCTTGGCCTCGGTAGTGAGAGGTGATTGTGACCTTCTCTCCACGGTGATCATATCAGAAGGTATTAGCATGGTGGTGAGAGGTGACCTTGATCGTCATTAGTGACCAGGTAGGTACACGCTAATGAATAAAGCTTTATGACCTCGACCTATACTTCAATAATAATCATTAATTTAGGTTCACTGTCACTTAACACTGTCAGTAGATGATTGTTTACTTGTTAAATGTATTTGGTAACGTCTTTAGTAGCAGTGTGAGCCATGTGGTAACCACGATTGGTTTTGTCTGGAATCATTATTACGGTATCCCACAAAAAAAATCCCAGGATTTTTAATGATAAAATGAGGCGTGAAGTGATAGTGCATTTCCTTCCTGTCGTGCGTGGGCCACTTAAGCTTGCCACTCGCGCTTATGTACTCGTATTCCTAAATAAGTCTTCAATTATTTATGTTTAGAGATAAATCCTTTAATTCTTTTCTTTTGTCACACTCAGCCCATCCACCTTCCGTCCTACACCCCTACCTCCCCTACTCATCCCCCAGATCGTATCCCCCCCCCTTCCCGACTCACCTGCCGCGGGACGGTCCAGGTATGTCAATTAAACCTGTCCCAGCTGATGGTCGTCGATTACAAGCCTCCATTCATTTCCCGGCCGGGGTATGACTGGCATATCAGGCCTCACACAGCCCTAAATAGATTAATGAAAGGGAATAATCGACTGTAAATGGCTTTTGAACCTGACGATAGGCTGGTGAGAGGCGCCGGGCGACAGTGACTGGGGTGTGTCTCCTTCACCAGCCGTAGTGATGGTGGGGTGCTGGTGATGTGATGAGTGTGGTGGTGTGGAAGTAGTGGTGGTGGGGTGGTATTGTGGTGCTTAGGTTGGGTTAGTCAAGTCAAGGGTTCGCTTGATAATGTTCAGTTAATATCTTTCAATGAGACATTCTGGGAATATGTGACATTTTCAGAGAAGACAAAAAGGTGTAGACGAAATGATAATAAACCGTAAAGATGGTGTAGTGGTG